GATTCAAACAAAAAGTAATCAATAAATAGAACAAAATAAAAACAAATAAAAGACTGCAAGTGACGTAGCTAGCGGAAGTGCAAGTGTCTGAGAGTGCAAGCCTGAGAATGCACGTCTGAGAGTGCAAGCGCCAGCTGCAGCCAGACCCTTCTCCATTTTTAACCCATGTAACTGGTCTGGTATACTGAATACAACCGCATACATTTGTTAAATGTAATCACACATATTATATCTGTAGATCATTTAAATGGTACGAGTTATTTTTGAATGGCAATCTACATTATTAAAGAAATTTCATATATGGTTAATAATGGTCCACCCCCCACACATATGACAGTGGTATCGTCTGTATTCCGTGTTGAAATCCTCCAAGCTGAGCCGAAAGCAAATTCGAGTCGAGGACCTTTTGAGAGAAGCAGAAGTGCACATATTATTGTACATTTTACAACAGAAAATTTATATCTAACACTTGTACAGTTTTAGCAATGTCTACTCCAGCAAGAAGGCGACTCATGCGGGATTTTAAAAGGTGAATCAAGAAAACTAAATATGAGGAGCTGTTGTTTACCAAACCCGGATGTACCTTACAAAGACCGGAGAATGAGAAGAAACATTTAGAAAGTTATTTGTTTTGTCTTTATTTAGACCTAAACTTCCTAAATCTAATCTGGCTCCCTTATTTGTTTTGACGCAAACACAACAGACTTCAGGAGGATCCTCCAGCTGGAGTTAGCGGTGCTCCGTCAGAAAACAATATCATGGTATGGAATGCAGTGATATTTGGGTAAGTACTTCTTGTGAACAGGGTTGTGATGTGGACTAAACCAAGTTTAGCATTTTACCAGGTTCGCGTTTCTTTATTCTGAAACCCGAGCATTTTGTCAACACTTCAGATGGCATAAAAAAACCCGTCCTTTGGTACTTGTCTTGACTAGTCTGCCTGTGTGTTTTCAAGCACTGAAACTAAAAACAAAAGATGACATGGTGGCATTATTGGTTATCCAAATGTGACCACTTTTCATTCTTGCTTTCACAGGCCAGAAGGAACTCCCTTTGAAGATGGTAAATATAAACATTACTTCTTGAAGTCCATAAGTTCTAGTAATTCAAGACATGTATTTTGAATTCATGCTTTAAGCCTGTTTTTGTTATAGGTACATTCAAATTGACTGTAGAATTCACAGAAGAATACCCAAACAAACCACCCACAGTCAGATTCATCTCAAAAATGTTTCATCCTAATGGTAAGATTTAGATTTTTGTTTGTCATCATTTGTCATTCAGAATCATTAATATGACAGTTTAAAATATGTCGTCTTGACATGACGTAAGGGAATGGCTCACCCCAAAATGAATATTTGCTGAAAATGTACTCATCCTCAGGAGATAGCCAGTTCTTAGATGAGTTTGTTTCTTCATGGGAACAGATTTGGAGAAATTTAGAATTACATCACTTACTTAACCAATGGATCCTCTTCTGTGAATGGGTGCCGTCAGAATGAGAGTCCAAACAACTGATAAAAATCCCACAATAATCCACAAGTAATGCACACAACTTCAGTCCATAAATTAATTTCTTTAGCAGTGAAAAGCTGTGTTTGTAAGAAACAAATCCATCATAAACAGGGCTTAAAGTTCTCCGGCACCGTGCCGAATCTCCAGCATGTGGTGTTTAGCTGCGGGAAAATAAGATAGTCCTCCTACATTTAAAAACACTTGTTGATATCATGTTCGAGCTAATTAGTTTGCCTACCAATGTATGAGTGTTCCACAGCTTTCACTCTCAACCAAACTTAACATTACTAGCCAATCAGACATTTTTGGTCCTATAAACATACCCACAGTCAGATTCATCTCAAAAATGTTTCATCCTAATGGTAAGATTTAGATTTTTGTTTGTCATCATTTGTCATTCAGAATCATTAATATGACAGTTTAAAATATGTCGTCTTGACATGACGTAAGGGAATGGCTCACCCCAAAATGAATATTTGCTGAAAATGTACTCATCCTCAGGAGATAGCCAGTTCTTAGATGAGTTTGTTTCTTCATGGGAACAGATTTGGAGAAATTTAGAATTACATCACTTACTTAACCAATGGATCCTCTTCTGTGAATGGGTGCCGTCAGAATGAGAGTCCAAACAACTGATAAAAATCCCACAATAATCCACAAGTAATGCACACAACTTCAGTCCATAAATTAATTTCTTTAGCAGTGAAAAGCTGTGTTTGTAAGAAACAAATCCATCATAAACAGGGCTTAAAGTTCTCCGGCACCGTGCCGAATCTCCAGCATGTGGTGTTTAGCTGCGGGAAAATAAGATAGTCCTCCTACATTTAAAAACACTTGTTGATATCATGTTCGAGTTAATTAGTTTGCCTACCAATGTATGAGTGTTCCACAGCTTTCACTCTCAACCAAACTTAACATTACTAGCCAATCAGACATTTTTGGTCCTATAAACATGAGACACACATAATAGTATCCAACTGCAAAGTCGCAGCTGATGAGCGTGACACATTCTGAAAAAGCTGCGAGGCCCAAATCTGTTCCTATTAAGAAACAAAATTAATTTAACAAAAGTATATTAAGCAAATTTTCATTTTTGGGTGAACTATTCCCTTAACCCCTTTCTCTTTCAATGATACTTCAGTATATGCAGATGGAAGCATATGTCTTGACATCCTACAAAACCGGTGGAGTCCAACTTATGACGTGTCATCAATTCTCACCTCAATCCAGGTAAAATATTGCTTTTTACTATTATAAGTATAAATGTAAATCAGAACACCGCTTGATCAGCTTGTTTTCCTGTTGGTTTTCCCCCAGTCTTTGCTTGATGAACCAAACCCTAACAGTCCAGCTAACAGCCAAGCAGCTCAACTTTACCAGGAAAACAAACGGGAGTATGAGAAGCGTGTGTCCGCTATTGTTGAGCAGAGCTGGAGGGACAGCTGACCTTACACTGCAGAGCACAGAACTTTGTGTTATTTATAGTTTAGTTGAGTGAATTGTGAGGACGCCCCTCACAATACCGTTCTAATGCACTTTAATCTAAATCCGTCCCTTTTCCCTTTGGAGAACTTGTGCTCAGCCAATATCACCTGGTCATTTTCTGTTCAAAAAGTGACATACATGGTGTCAGCCCAGAAACCTGGACTATATGATATATCCAAGGGCCTTTTTTTTTTTTCTCAAGAAGAACCAAACTGAATGGACACGGTGCTGACCTGCCATCCTTGAACTGTCCATGCCCCAATCGGAACTGATGAGCCTGTTATGCTTTTTTTGTGTGTGCTGTTACATGCCTGAAAGTGTGTGGTTTTTTTCTATTCCATGTGTTATTGATTGCCTCGTGTACTATATTATAATAATACACTTTAAATTTCATGTACAGGATCTGTGTATGATTAGTCTATTGACTTTTTGTTTTAATATGGTCAGAAAAAAAAAACAGTTTATCAAGAATGTTAGTTGTAACCATAGAAGAAAAAAACACTTGTTAAAGCTGCAGTCGCAACTTTTTTTAGTTAAAAATGATCCAAAATAAATTTTTGAGCAAGTACATAACCAGCCAGTGTTCAAAACTATCTCCTTACCTTAGCCCGATTCACAACGGTAAGCTTGTAACAGTGTGTTCTACTTGGGTGGTACTGGTAGGTTTCTGCGGGAAATACGAGCTTGCGCCTTCGTCTTTGCATCATTACATCACGTCTGTATACATAAAGAAGGAGTCCTGCCTAGGCTTTATCGCATGTGAGGGTGCTGCAGGTGGCAGGTCATTTATAGTCTTTTTCTCACAGCAGCTGGAATAATTGAATTTATAATTTTGATGGTGGATTGTAATCCAAAAGGTCCAAACGATTTCTTTATATGAAATTAGAATGGTATGACAATCAGAGATTAGACTGTACAGAAACTGAAATCTACAGGTAGCTAATACACACTAAATACACATAGTAACGCAATGCTGATGTTGTTAACATTAACAATTTGAGAACAAAGCATAACAATAATAATAATTTGCACGGTTTGATGTGATTTGAGCTAACTTTACGATCGTTAGACTTGATCACCATTGGTAATGCAATTTATTGTAATGCTTTTTTTTTCTCAGTTGGTCAGAACAAAAGTGGCAGACGTGTTACTTGTTCAGATAACATTTTCTGGTGAAAATTCTTATTTGGGTCATACTTCCATCTGTAATTCTGATGTACAGTATCCACACCGATGCGGTGACTGACAGCCACACATACACCTCAAACATTCGATTCATCAGTGCTGAAGAACCGTGCCGATGCACAACCCACGTAAAGATGATAATTCCGCAAATAACTGCAATTGCAGGTTTCAAACAGAGATGGTGACAAAGAGGCAAAACTTACAGACTGCATCTTTAAATGTCTAAAGAGCAGTACATTTTTCAAACATTTATTTTAAGATTTTTATAAGATACATTCATACACTAGCTACATGCTACACGAGCTTGACAATGAAAGCTCATTCACATAATACAATATACCACACAAGACTAAAGGTTCATTTAATGTTTCATATGAAATATCCATTTAAATTAAATGCTCTTTAAACAAAACAATCATAAAAAAAATTATGCCTCAGAGAGCTGCTGAGTTCAAGCCCTTAGATGGTACTTCCTAAGTGAATCGAGTCTCCAGATGAAACAGAAAACAAAGCATAAATCCATATGATCAGTTGACTGAGGTCAGCTAACATGGGCTACCTGTTAAATGCCCTCTCCATTTTTGCTTTTTCCAAAGCTTTGTCCATGGTTTTCTCTGTGTCCCCTTATAGAGTTTGGACAATACCACTTCCCTTTGGGTTTGTAATTAAGCCCAACACATGAGAAATGGAACCATTCAATTGGACATTCACCATTATCACAACCAATCATTTCCCCAAATGACACCTGCTCACAAAGGCAGTAAGTAGTCTCATTCGGATCAATAGGTAGATCTGTAGGTGAAGGCTCTCTGTCAGCTTTGGCTTTGGACCTCTTCTTTATCTTTGAGGTTTTATTCCTCTTCTCCCTGACAATGCCGCTGGTTCCTTCATCATGGTGAACTGTAGAGACATTCTCCCGAGTGTCAATATGATTGTTTTTCTGACATCTGGAGCGCATGTTGGCTCCAGAAAGCCTTTCTATGGAACCAAGGGATGCTTCTCTTCTTTTCTCCGCTTCCCTTTTCTTGCTTGGAATAACAGAAGATATGGTAGTAGCTGTCATGCTTTCTTGGGGTTCATGTCGGGTTTCTAGAAGCTCAGCAAGACTGTCTACTTGCCGGCTACGATTCTCCAACATCTCCACCATCTGACTAGCAAGTTGGATCTTCTCATCACCCAGCTCCTGACTTCGGATAAGGACTCTTTGGATACAATGCAGCAAGCACATTTGCTGAATGGGGTCCTCTTCCTGGCAGTGTTTCTCATAGGCCTCATCTAACTCTTTGAGCAGTTCTGAAATTAGACCAAAAAAAATTATTGTGAATATAATTTAATATTCTGACTTATATTTACTATTTTGCAGGTGTGGTCACATTAGCAAGATTTCACAGGCAAAAAAAAGGTCCACTGCCTATTGTCAATAAAGTAGTTATGTATTAAGCACAGCTCATACATAAGTTACTTTCAATTCAAGCAAGTTTTCTGTTGGTCAAAGCAGTGAATTAGATTAGATTCCAACTGAAATGACTGGATTTCGTCTGCAAAAATGTGTCAAACTTAAGAGGTTTCTATCCCTCCAAAACTTAGAAGATTCAAAAACATTATAAAAAGCGTCGTAATGGAATCGATGTGAATAAAAGCATAAATTAAATCTGTTCATCATTTAAAGCAATCATATATCTCTTCAAAAGATTTGGATTGTGGTAGGTTATTTAGTCAATTCAAGAATAAACCAGTGAGGACCAATGATATTTTATAGGTACAGGTCTGACGAACAGTCAAGTGAATAGGAAACCATTTAAATTTATATATGATCGGGATTAGGGTCTACAGTAGAATATAATGTGTATGGATGGGAACACTATACCTAATCTGGAGCATGAGGAGCAAAGTGCGAGTGCTAGAAGATCTGAACACGCAGATCTGTAGATTGGGACGTAGTATAGCCTTTAGTTTATATCACATCCAAAGCCGCTGAAAAAGATCACATCCATACAGATGTTAGGAGCCAGACAATCACCCGTGTAAGAAGTACAGTTCGCTGCTCAGTACGGTAGGTGCCGACAGTGCTCCTAAAGAGTAGGTCGCCATCAAACAAGTAGAAATAGAACTCACTGCAAATTGCAAAACAGCTGAGAGAGATCTGTCAATGTAACAGTTTACCAGTAGTGGAGTGACAAGCTGAACATTCAATGTGATGGCACTGAAAAGAAACGTGTAGGCACATCGAGGACATTAGCCTATGAACAATAACCTACACACGTCATCAATCCAAATCGGAAACCACGCTAAAATGTGTAGAGATATTGATCGTCAAGGTTATGCGTCATCTTTTTTACTATTATAACCACCAAATGTAGTAAGATGAAAATGAGGCTTCCTTTAGCATTGATTACAAATGTAAGACTGCTTAGTTCTGGCTTTAGAATCGGGCATTGGATTCATAATGGTGTTACAAAAACATCATTGCTGTCCAGTTGTAATATATGCAGCAGGCGGAGAGAAAGTGGATAAAACCAGTGGGGTTTGACACCGGTGTGAAGACTTACAACAGCCTGACCAAGCAGAAAGAACCTCTGGTTTTGGCACAAGAAAGAATTGCTACCTGGTAAGGCACATAGTGGTCCATAACGTCAGTTGAGATTTTCTTACATGTAAAGTTAGATTAGAAGTTTCTTTCTATTACACGTTATTCTGTCACTTCCAGGTATAGCTGTGGACCCACTGTTTATGATCATGCCCATCTCGGTCATGCGTGGTAAATTTCTCTGCTTGATAACTAGGTGCAGAATGTTGAAAGAAGCAAAGTTTGTTGTAGTGTTATTTTAGTATTATTGAGAGAATTGAGTTTAATTTATATTTTCCATTTTAATTTTAGGTGGTAGGTTTAGTCATTTTGTTGTAGTAACTGTGGTTACATGTAATCTGGATTGTGTAATCAGATACCAAAAATTAAGATTATACCTGTAATTAAATTATATTACATTTTTACTTTATTCATCCCATTTTTTTCTTCCTTGCATGCAGCTCATATGTCAGATTTGACATTCTGCAAAGGATCTTATCCAGACTTTTTGAAATTAATGTCATCCACGTCATGGTCATCACTGACACTGATGATAAAATAATACAAAGAAGCCTTGAGGTAAGTGTCAACTGAAAATACATGGTTTCACTTCTGTTTCAGTAAATACAAGATTATTCATGTTTGTGAAAGGATGTAAATATTTAGCAATTTTAAGACATGTGTAAAGTTTTTATTTTATATCTTTTGCAGCAGAACATCTCACCCACTGTCCTAGCAAGAATGCATGAGGAAGAGTTTAAGAGGGACATGCAAGCACTGCGGGTAAATCACCACTTTTTGTTGTTGTATTTATCTTGTCTAAAATATTTAAACATATTTTACTGATCTTTGTTCATTTGTCCAGGTTCTTCCTCCAGCTGTATACATGAGGGTGACAGACAACATACCCCAGATTGTAGCTTTTATAGAGCATATTATCGGAAATGGACATGGCTATGTCACAAGTCAAGGTGCCTCTCTCTATTTTGTTGACAGTTAAAGGTCAAAGGTCAAGTCTTTCTTGTGTAGTGTTTTTTTTTCTCCTAATAGTGAATAATAGATGGAACTGAACATCGTATTATTTGTTGATCCAGGGAATGTCTACTTCGACACTCAGTCAATTGGTAACCGCTATGGCAAGCTTGTGAACCTTGGAGGAATTGTTGGGGAGCTTGGTTTAAATAAAACCAATTATATATATATATATAATTTATTTATTTTTTTATTTTTTGGAGGTCTTCATCATCAATAACAGTAAATGTGGATAGTTTCCTCAGTCTTTAAGCACACGTTTTGCCACTGCACATTTATGATTAAAAAAAATGTTATAGGGCTAACTTGAATAATTAACTAAAATCATATTACTGTTAATATGTGCCATGTCTGTAGATAAAAGAAGTCCATTTTTCATAATTAAAATGTATTAGAAACTAACCTAACTAATGTTGAGTAATTCACAGTTTCTTGTATTTTAGGGGCTCAGGATAAAAGAGATCCAAGGGATTTTGCTCTGTGGAAAGCATCCAAACCACATGAACCTCATTGGGAATCACCTTGGGGACAAGGAAGACCTGGGTGGCACATTGAATGTTCTACGATTGCTAGGTATTTGCTCTGTTCAACCAAATATCACTGTATGTTGGTATTTGTTTTGCATTGCTTTGATGTTGTGTCTGATTTTGAATGGATGTCAATGGTACATTTACTATATTTAATGGTGTATACTTAGTTTAAGGCAGTAGCTTGAAGAAATGTATCCACTGTTCATACAGAATCACAACATAATGGAGGTTTGCCCCATTATAAGTTCAGTCAATTTTCAGTAGGTCTTTAAGCCCTGTTTGGACAGTAATTATTTATCATGTGGATGTACAGTGGTGTGAAAAAGTGTTGGCCCCCTTCCTGATTTCTTATTTTTTTGCATGTTTGTCACACTTTAATGTTTCAGATCATCAAACAAATTTAAATATTAGTAAAAGATAACACAAGTGAACACAACATGCAGTAATCAGGAAGGGGGCCAACACTTTTTCACACCACTGTATAGGTAATTTCAACATTAGTCAGTGATTTTACTGCTGTCCAAATCCAGAATGTCTGTTTTTTTTATTCTGCCTAAATTCTGCGAGACCTATAGTCTATTTTTTTGACACCAAAGTTGGTGTGGTCATTTATTGCTGTGTAATCGCTGAATACATCTCTTAATCCAAAAGTGGTTTTGTAAAGTCTTTTTGACCGCTGCCATGCCCTTTACAATAACTGTTGTACTTTCTGGTGCATGCATTATCAATATGGAGACTTTTATTTCTGAAATGTTGAAAGCTGTTTTTAAGAATTATTGATGTATTCACATATCCACGTAAATTCATGTGAACTTTTGAAACGAGCCTTTGTGACAGCAGGTGTGTAATCAGGTTTTTTTTTTTTTATATTATTTATATAAATTAGGGCTTGCATAACTGATTATTTTACTAGTTGACCAAATAGTTTGCCTTATGTAAAGAAAAGTTTTTTTTTCCTGCTAATTTTCACATTTTTAATGTAACACATCATTTTGAGAGACAAAAGAAAACCATTTAAACCAACAATTTTCCTATTTTTAAATTGGATATTGAAATGAATAAATAATAAACAAATAGGATTATTTTCATATAATTAAAGTTGTCATCGTGTTGAGAGTGACTGACCACGTGAGATGTACGTTTCCAGGTTCGTAGGATCACAGACAGAACTCCGTCCTCCACCATGAATAAATAGTTATCTGAATGCTTGAGTTTTATAAACGAGGAGCCATGCAAAAATATATTTACAGATGTAGGTATAAAAAAAGTGTGAAGCTCTATTTGTATGGTTGAGGAATGGATAGCAGATGTAGCAGTATTGCCCATTAAAGGCGACAGACATGTACATGTTTCATACCACATTTGAATGTATTATAAAATCTTACCCCACCAAAAAATATGGAACAGAATCATATTATGCAATGGCAACATCCATAAACACTTGTTTGCTCTTATCTGCAGTTCAGTGTTTGGAAGCCAGTTGGACATCCACTCTGGAGGAATTGACCTTGCCTTCCCACATCATGAGAATGAGATTGCCCAGTCTGAGGCGTATCATCAGTGTGAACAATGGGGAAACTACTTCCTGCACTCCGGTAATGCCCTTAGTCTTCTGGTTTAAGTAGTATATTGGTAGTAATATTTTAGGGCACATATTGTAACATAGGATCTGTGAAAATTTAGTTTTATTGATGCAAGGTCTTGGAAGAAAATTTAATAAAAACTTTATTTTTTCAAGGGCACCTTCATTTGAAAGGAAGTGTAGAGAAGATGTCAAAATCCGTGAAGAATTATGTAACTATAAAGGTAACAAGTTATATTGATATATAAGTGTAAAATTATGTTATATTATTAATACATAATCATGTTTTTTAAATCTAGCTCTCTTAATAATCTAGGATTTTCTGGAATCTTACACTGCTAATGAGTTTCGACTTTTTTGCCTTCTGACCAGATACAGATCAGGTATGTGTTACATGCTGAAAAGGACTCCTGAAAGTAATACTCCTGCAGTTTTGCATAAAATAAGGGCAGATATTTCACATTCACTGTGGGGTCTTTTAAACATTCCAGCAATCGACTATAGTGATGCTAGCATGA